ACTACTACTACTACTACTACTACTACTACTACTACTACTACTACTACTACTACTACTACTACTACTACTACTGCTGCTGCTGCTGCTGCTGCTGCTGCTGCTGCTACTACTACCACTACTGGACTGCTGCTGTTATTGCTACTGCTGCTACCGCTGCTACTACTGCTACTGCTACTACTACTACTATTACTGCTACTGCTACTACTGCTACTACTGCTACTACTGGTGCTACTGCTACTACTGCTGCTGCTGCTATTGCTACTGCTGCTACTACTGCTGCTGCTACTATTGCTGCTACTACTGCTGCTATTGCTACTGGTGCTACTACTACTGCTGCTACTACTGCTGCTGCTGCTGCTGCTATTGCTACTGCTGCTACTACTACTGCTGCTAATACTACTGCTGCTACTACTGCTGCTGCTACTACTACTGCTGCTACTACTGCTGCTGCTACTACTGCTGCTGCTATTGCTACTGCTGCTACGGCTGCTACTGCTACTGCTGACGCCGCCACCACCGCTGCTGCTACTACTTCTGATGTTCTACTAACCGTACGTGGTTGCCGGCGCCATGGTCGCTGCAGGAGGATTAAACAACGGAAGCAAAGAAATGCCGTGCACGTGAGCCTGCGTGAATGTGTGTTTGCGTGCGCGTACACGCGCTCGTGCGGCCATAAACCGCTCCCTATTAGTTCGTTTGCACGGGAGAAAGAGGCTGTGGCAGCACCGATGGATTTATATACAGGTTTGCGTGAACACTATTATCTTGATCATTTATTATAGCATCTATGAACTATGCACTGAGTTAGGGTCGGCCAGATTGCATGCTGCCTGCAGTCAGTGGAGGAGACTGCGAGATGAGAGACAGCGACAAACAGCAACAGCGAAGAAGAGCGAATATGTACGACGAAGAGAATGAGAAGGGGTAAGATGAAGAAAGAAAGCGAGAGAGTGCACAAGCTAGAAGTGGATTCTACGAGCATCAGGTAAACAAAGGTAGAGAGGTGCGGAGAGATAATTGAGAAGAGGAAGAAGGAGACGAAGAGGGAAAGAGAGAAGGGGAGAGAGAGGGAGTGTGTTTGTATATATGTAGGTGTGTGGCGGTGTGTGCTGCTTGCGTGCGTGCGCACGTACATTTGTATCTGTGTGAGTTCATAACAGAGAGCGAGAGAGAGCCTTACTCACATGTATCAATCTCCTTGCACGAAATGAAAACCAGAATGAAAGCGAACAGCGTCATGCTATCGTTTCATGCTAGCGCGCGCCATTCCCATGTAACAGCTGCATAACGTCCTGAGTTATCCCGCAGCGCAGGCGTTTACGCACCACCGCAGATGCCAAACTCCACGACAGATATGGCGCTCTCGCTCTGGCTCTCGCACTGCCACAAGCAGATTTTCGTAAGAATTTATTACGCTTATTTACTATAAGGTTTACAGCGGCCCCGTTACACCTGTCCTATGTAATACGGGTTTTACTTATAAAAGTTGCAAACATAATAAAATCGGACCATTATTTCATAAAAATTTTGATAAAATAGTGACACGAAATAGTACGCGGATTGTGTGCCCATTTACTACTTTAAAATCATTACGGTGTACACGTTTTTATTTAATATTTATCATACATTTTTCGGATACTTGCCAATATACATAATTCTCGAATATTGTGTTTTATAAATTTTTGCATATTCAGCTTAAAACATCTAAATTTGTCCACCGACAAAAATGAAAAACAAACTTGCGACATTGCGGCCGGCATTGGATTGCCATTCGCTGGATTTCCCCGGAGCTCCGCCCACTTAAAAAATAGTACCAGCTTTGCGGAAGTGGTAGCATGAGTTGTAAGAAGGGGGCGCTGCACGTGGGCGCTGCATGCGCACCCGGCTGTTAGATGCGATATGATATGACTACTAGGCACTTAGGATATGACCACTAGACACTTAAAAAAAAAAAACCCTAGCCCTAACGCCTAAACCTAACACTAAACCCTAAACCTAACCTAAAAACCTAACCCTTTACACCCTAAAAAAAAAACAAATTAAATTAAATAAAGTGCCTAGTAGTTCATATCATCTATCGCATCTAACTGGGCCGGTTTGCCGCTTTGCAATGCCTCGCTATGGGGTGTCACTTGTCCCCGGGCGTAGAGCGAGGGTGCCGCTACGTGGGCTAAGCCACTAGTCACTTCGTACAATTCCGTCATTCCACACAGTCATAGCTTCTCATGGCTACAGACGATGGCTTTATTTTCTAACGCCTTAACGGGCCTACACCTTAATGCCTAACCATAACCCCTAACCCTACCCTGATCCCTAAAGCCCTAATGGGGTTGTCTATATTCAGCGGTACAGGAAGATAATTGCATATTTTGTCACGTGGTTTGTGTTATAACGGCAACTGCAGACTTGTAATGCGCG